AATAGAGGAAACTGAAAGTACAAACGAACGTTACCGCCTGCTGTTAGGAACAATTCAATTTTCTGTATTTATGCGGAGAATTTCCCTGGTCGTGACTTAACTCCAACCGGGCGTACTACCGAAATAAAATAAAAATGTTCTTCTGATCAAGCTCTCTTTTATAAATTAATCAGCTGTGTTTCACCCTTCTATCTTGATACCAAAAGCCAAAAAAATTGTTGTGACGTCTCACCCTATTACAGTGGCGCGGATATAAGTCGAATCGTCGAAATAAAGAGCGTAATTATATCTGTTAAGAAGAAAAGTTTTGCTTTACAAGCTTTCTTCGTTATGTTCCAGATTAAATATCGATGAATCGTTTTTACTTCTATCTAAAAATAAAACACATTCAACAATTATTATTGTTCAAAAATTTAATTGATTTAGCACTCCAGTCAAGTTTTATCCTCTTTGGACGGTAAAAGCACGGTTGTTAAACGATTCTGGTTTATATGCGGTTTTTTGAAGCTGCATGACACACAGTTTCGCTGTAACCAAATCAGAACATCACATTCCGACTGTTGTATCAGCCATTGTTTGAAAAGCCAATTTATGGAAATGCAACAGATCCTATTAGTATTTAAGGGTTCTGCGGACGTGGGATTTATTCAGAAGCCGCCCCAGGGTAACAACGGTTGGATTTGAATTTACAAGGGGAGGGGGGAATTTAAAAGGTAAAATTCCTGACCTCGCATCAACAACGTAATGAATGAACGGTGAATTGTTTTTTGTTTTTGTTTTTTTAATTTCCATTAAATATTTGTACATGTTCATAACGGAGCTTTTATGGTATGCTCGTCAATTGGATAATTGTTTTTCCTTTTTTATTGAATTTAACTGTAATAACAACAGTACGTTTTGTAAATTTTACATACCTGTGTTCATAAATATACAGCTTATAGATCCTAAAAATCGATTTGAAAATTGAGCTTTAGATATCATAGACATAATGAGAGCATTATAGACGAAGAGAAAAATTTTAGTTTATAAAAAAATTCTGTTAATTTTAAATGGTATACATGGCTAGTTGACTAGTCTTAGTGCGAATGTTGTTACACATTCATCTTTAAATTATTTGAGTTTTGTTTTATGGAGAGGACCGGTCTGAAAGATGGTTTGGTCCTTTCCTAAGGTTTAATCGGCCTGTCATCGTTGGTCTGTCAGATGCGTTTCTGCATTTCAGCATCATTTGACTAAAATTATGTTAAAAAAAAATTACTTTGACAGAGCAAAGCAGCGGGGATATGCAGTCCAAAATTTATTATCAACGACTGAATCAACCTTATCCAGCTTTTTCGAACTTTTACTGCACGTCATCACCTGATCCGGTGTTTCTATCCATCCATTTTTTAATAAAACAGAACAATTTTTCCGCTGGGTTTGTCATTTATACAGTTATTCATTTAATCCTAACAGGGTTCGGTCCCTATAAGTTTTTGTTCGATTTGTAGATTTGCATTAAAAAAATATTGGGATTGCCATTTTTTGATAGATAAATGGTAGATATGAGCTATTTACAAAAATTGAAATAGTTAGACATATTGCGGTTTTGGGCGCTGGCTGACATGGCGATTTGGTAAGAAGGCTCCCAAAAGTAGCATTTGAATAAATTGTTGTGCTCATTTCTTTTATGTTTACAGGCAATCCATTTAAAATACTGTAATATTTACTAGAAAAGACCTTAATCAGATAGTGAGGCAAGATTTGTTCGTTCCATTTCTGCACATTTTATTTGTGCCCCATGTTGTCCAGTGGCTCTGCAGCAGCATTATTTGGGCTTATTAAAGATAGCTCTTTTTATTTTAAATTTGCATGCAGGGGCGCTGGAGGCCGGAATGGTTAAGGTAACACGGCGAATAATTACTCTGATGGTCTTGGGTTCGAATCTCAGTCGACCAATGTACTTTCAACAAACCACCCTAACGCCGGGAGTTGATATGATTTTTGATGTTGCAAACTCCGTAAAAAACGCATTTGGTCATTTAGAGCTTATAAGTATTATAAATATTATGTAGTACACTGTCATGAAGAACAGAATAGCTTCCAGCATGTCGTTATTCAGTATTTTCTGGTTTGGAAGTATTTAAGAACAGACAATAATGAAAGGACGACTATAGAGTTAAAAGCTAAAAGGACTACGTACTGCAAACCTCCGTTTCTGAAAAAAATATTATCTAAGTGAAACGAAAACAATGTGAAAAAATACCGTTGGTTTTGTGAGATCAACATTTTGGTTTTACCTATTGATCTGTAAAAAAATAAAAATTAATAACAGTGACTTAATACGAAAAAAACTGCTGAAGAATGGTTTTCCTAGATGCCATAGCTTTTTCTTAGTTATTTTAGGGCAGGATATGTTCTGTTGCCTCTGTATCCTCTAAACGAATTCCAAATTGGGAATCTGTTAATAGTCATATTTTTGTAATTTTTTATTGGAGCCATAAATATACATGTTAGGGTTTTTAATTCTGATGGATACGATTTTCACTTCCAACTATTGGGTTTTTTATGCGAGTAATCTTATTATTTGCCTTTGCACACGTTCCCAGTATTTGTTCTGACCTTTAGTACCCCAAAATTTCAGTCCATTTTTCTTTTCCCTATAATTTATGCCACGAATTAAATGCGGGCTTATATGTTGCTCCAAGGCTATCTTTTTAGCTAAGATGACAGCGACTTAGTTAACTGAAATTCTTTTGGGTTTTCATCGGTGCAAGTACAGAATTCTTTTCATGGGACTGACGGTTTTTCTAGGAACCATAGGTTTTTTCTAGCTATGGCAGGGCAGCATAACATATTCTCTCTAGTTTCTGTTTCCTCTAAACATACCCGGTCATATGTCCCATAAATATGCATTTGTTACAGTTTTTTAATTTCTTTCTATTGTCTTCCTCTTTTTCCTATTGAGTTGATTTTGCGAGAAGTCCTTGTGATTAGCCTATATTTTTCCTAAGTTCCCAGTATTTGATGTGTTTTCTAGTACCCCAAGACTCTGGGTCCTTGGTTGTTCTTGCTTATGTCACCAAAAAATTGAGTTTCTGTACCGTTCGTTCAAGTGCAAAATGGAAATGTAATTATTTAATTCATTTAAATAATCCTTTTATTTAAAGAAAAAAGAACCCTATGTATTGGTCTTACGCTACATTTTTAACTAAGGGGTCTGCTGTCGTTTTACATAAATTTGCCTCATGATCTGGAACAATTCGTACAGTTAAACTAATTGTCCATCCCTTTTGTCAGATATGTCCCATGGTATTTGTGAGTTGATTTCATAAAAAAAAGTGCTTTTAGTACTCAATCTGATAGTACTGAACTATATCTACTACACATTATTTTGTATATTATTTCGCTAAAATCAGTGTACATACGTCGAATCACCGATAAATGACGAAATATTTAGTCTTAATTAACCTTCTAATATTGCGTTTATGGCATTTGAACTCTCAGTTGCAGAAATTAATCTGTGAATAATACCATTGATAGATGTTCTGCTCAAGGGTCTAATTTGAAAGGACATGTTCCTCAACCATTATCCGCTAACAATGAAATAACAAAGCAAACACGTTCCACTGAACCATGGATTATAATTATTTAGTCAAGCTTGGATATGATTTCTCCAATAATTCTTATTACAATATATTATCTATTAAACAAAATCTTCAAATAATCAAAATATTTACTAAACGTATTCTGTGCAAAATAGCTTTTATAAAAACTTAATAATAATAAATTATAATCAGGCCAATTAGGCTCGATGTGAGAATGTTGAAGCTCATCTTACACACCCCCTTTTCCCCTTTACCATCACCAAAATTCTGGTTTAGGCCCAAGTAAAGCGTCAATAATCAAAACTTGAAGAGTTACTTTTATTAGGTATAATTTTTATAGTATTTCTACTTTTTTCCACTATGCACCTTGTAATTAAACTTGAGGGGTCGTTAAGAATAAATAGAAAACCATATATAAGAAGCTTTGAGAGAAAAACGGCCTTTTTCGGTCGTGAGTCATATTTCGTAATTATTCCTAGATATTTTTGAAAATAGCAATTTACATTATTTGAGTATTTATTTTTTGTGCATTTTTTAATAAACTTTGTCTAAATGAACCTATGACAACAAAAAAATGTAAACATTAAACAGTGAATTTTAATCTATAGTGCTGGGCCTTTGTTTCACGATAATTTGACTGGCTAGGGGTATAAGCAGGCCCGACAGAAAATGGCGAAAAATGTGGGTAGGTTGAACTGTAGGTTCATCACCCCGGAGACCCCACGAGAAAATTCAAAAATTAAAATATCTGACGTTTTCACAAACTTAACAAGGATTGTGTATTTTAAGAACAAATATTTAAAATATCTTCTTACACGTTTTTATCTAAGGTATGCCTGATGATATGTAAGCTCGCTGGGGTTCGTCGAACTCTCTTCTGTTTTCTTGTCGTAATATGAACAGGGCATTAAAGGATTATATAGCCTTTAAGACGATACAAGGTTTTTTCGAGGGTTTGGCTATAAGTGCGATGAACCTCTACATAATCCATTTACTTTGACAACGTAAAAACATTATTAGCTTTAATCCGCCGTTCGCCGGCTTAAAAACATGAATGCGATACAGTTCATAAACTGTCTAGGATTATTAATCATTTCCCAATTTATAAGTGGACTCAAAGGATACGATGGCGATTTATAAAATCTTCGTTAAATATAAAAGGAAAATTTTCAGCAAAATTAAAACTGTAATGGTTAGAAAATAAAATATTCTCTTGAACAAGAACTGAAAATAAGTGTATTTGTATACGTATGTAAAAATTTTTAAAAAATCGCTCATTTCCATTGCATAATATGTAGCTATGTCATTTTTTAATTTATAGCTGTTGTAGGCAAGAAGGACATTAATGATATACTTGAAAGTCAAGGATGAATACCTAACTTGCATAATCAATTTCAATAATTTTTTTTTCAGAATTTGCTCGAGGTGGTTCATGACTTGTTCGAAGAGCAGACCTCCTTGGAAAAGGTGATATTGAAGATAATGCAAAGGGCTCAAAGGCTGCTGAAATGTGAAAGGGCTGCCGTTTTGCTCGTTGACGAAAGTTCCAAAAGTGTAAGTTTCCCAAAAATTGTTATTAAATTTCATATTCATCAGATCAAATTAAAACCTGCGGACATTCTAAAGAAATAGAAAATATTGAATCCACAATTTTTCTGTTGAAATAATTGGACTTTGTGCTTGTATTTCAGGGTGTTCAATTTTCTAAATTGTTCGAGCTGTCTTCGCCAGTCAATGGCCACATCAACAACAAGTGAGTGATTTCTTTCTGTTTCCTTTTTTATTTATTTTTTCACCCCGACTCGGTTAAACGACGTTCCGTCAAATCGTTCCGAAGGCGTTTAAACAGTCATTTGCAGTCGGTTCGACTTTTGTAAACGCCCGTTATCAAGCTTGCTCATTTGCGAAGGCCGTGTCACCTCCAGACTATCGCTTTCTTTCCCTCCTAAGAAAAACCAGTAGATTTACGAGTGGTTTTCCGCCGAGATAAGAGTTGATTCATGGGTCCTCGGTATATCTTAATAAAACAAGGAGCCATGTGAGCGACGTTTTACCCTGCTGCGAAGTAGTTCGGTAGTATAGTAGTAGATAAAACGTTTAATTAGCATAGAAAATAGTAGAAAACAGTATAAAATTCATTTATAATATTTTCCATCTTTCAGCGACAATTTATAAATTTGAAATGGAGTTTAATAAGGTTATTAGATCTCTTTATTGGTTTATTTCTATATTTCGTAGGGTAAATTGGTGAAATGTATGTTTAACCTACAAAATATGCATTAAACTATTCATTTTAACTATTGAAAACTGAACTAAACTGAATCCTTAATATGAAGCAAACTAAATTATTAGCAGCATGCAAAATTTGACCATTCACTTACCTGGTTTCACTAAAGGTGGATGATTTTTATTTATTTTTCATTTATAAAAATGCTAAATAGAAGTAGATATATTATTATTTACAAAACTAGTTCTTTCTTCTGTGAATGCACAATTTAAAATGCCTTAATAAGCTATATAAAAATAAGTGTCTAAACCCTTAAAGCATCTTAAAGGAAATTTTCAGGTAAAGGAACAATGTAGTCGCATGTATGAATCTTTAACGAGTGAAAAAAAATATAAAAATTTATTAAATCCATTAGATTTCGTGATCCGATTGACCAAATAACTTCTTTCAATTAATTAATCTTTATGTAGCCACGGTATCGGTTGAGATAAAAAAAGCCAGAGCCACAAGTGGGATTCGAAACCACGACCTTCGGCTAAATACGCTGTTTCTCTACCACTTGAAGAAATTGGAACATGAAGGCCAAAGGGAGAATATTTTCGAACCAAGATTATTAAGTACGAAACAAATATTTTGATAATTAAATTAAATTTTATTATCGATTTGAACAAAAACATGATATTAATAACATATTTTTTCATATTTAATGTAAACTTTCCAAGTCTATAATAAAAAGGGTTTAATAAGTTTTTTGTGTAATTCAAAGTTAATGGCGTAATTTAATTGACTACGAAATGCGATTTTAATATAAAAAATTTCTCAAAACTGTAAAAAACAAGTTCCATTATTATACGAAAATTAAATTTTATATGGACCAATATACTAACTTAATCAGACTGGCTCAATTATAACTTGTGTAGCAGTTTTCTACCCACAGATAACTTGGTAAGGTTTTACTACTAAAGGCAAATTTAAAAAAGAAAAAAACATGAGTCTTTAAGAAGTATAAAGGTTGTATGACCCTAGAAAATGACGAAGAATCTGGAGTAAAAGGATCCTTCGTTGAAGGAAATAACCTACGAAAGTACCAGACTAGCCCACAAAAGTCCGAACTTATAAATAAATCTTTTATGTTGTCTATCCACCGGGGAAAGTAGTGTTCTTTTTTTACACTCGACCTTGGGACCTAAGCGATGCTTTGGGGGAACATTGTTCTTCCGTTTTACGGCCTACGAGGAAAATGGGAAAAGTGCTTTTTCCAACGATCTTATCCCTTTCTAAAACTTCAAATTAGCTACTCCGAACTAATTTAAATACTGATATTTTCATTTGATTAATAGTATATTTTCACCTGGTTTGGAAATTATATTTAATTTAATACTTATTCGTCTCGGGGTTTTAGGACAATCTTTTATGTTTAATTTCTTATTGCATGTAACAGCAGTTTTCATGGTCTTTCATCCGTGTTGATTCCATCCAGGTTGAACAACGACACAAGGGAATATTTATGCAACAAGTGACAAAACGTATGACTATTTCCAATTCATAAATCCATTCTACTGCCGAGGGGTAAAGTTGAATGATTAACGTCGAACGTTATTTCCTGTTATTTCCGCAAGGTGGTTCAAGGAACAATTAATTTATTGATTTTAACCATTCATATCGAGTATGGACAAAGTCGTTAAAATCCTTTAGAAAGGAATTATTTGATTAACTTAATTGGATTTTATACAAGTGCGAATATATAAATATTTTTGTCTGTAACATCTGTCTAACTAACTAAACCAAATATTTCATCAAAACTCCTCTATTTTTTAAACATAATTAGATTTTGGACAAAAATATGTGTGATATCTTTATAAAATTATATTTGTATTTGTCTTCCTATATGCAATATTCTTTTTAAGTGTAATTGTTTTTTTCTTTTTTTATGGAGGCTACCGACAATGGAGTCATATCAGGTTTCAATGCATTGTGAGGGTCGTTGGGTTACTCAATATTCCGCCATTGGCCCCCTCACTTACACGTTCCACTTATTCAAACAAACTGTACGACCACAAAAAAATATATATATAATAAATAATTAGTAGATACAATATTTTGATATTAAATATGGAGAAACACCCCTTATCTTTAAAAATCGATACAGGAGAACGAACAACCTACTCTCATGTCTAAGGTCTATTTTTATATGGGTGTCATGCTTACTTACTCCCTATAAGTCACCAAGGCATGGCACTTCTCGATTAGGTTTGACACACTGAGCAACACAATTTGGACAACTGAGCGGTGTTTGCCCAAAAGCCGGTATACGTGTGTCAATCGGGTATCCACGGCATACCCAAATGACTACCAACATTTTCCGAAGCGCTTCAGCTCAACGTAACTTTCTCCAAAGACCACGACCAGAGGGTCCACGAGCATTTATAACGGATAGCTGAATCCGCGTGCCAAATCGCATACAACAATGTACACGACGCAGACCACACCTTCGCATACATCTCAATTCTAAGTACGAAGTTCAGTAGAAGTGCGGCGGCGAGTATAACCTAGACAGTACCGTATGATGATCGTCCCGGACGAGTATGGTGTATTAGTTCGTGATGTGTTGACACGATTATGCATGGAATTTTCCATTTTATAACATTCCATCTCAATTTATTTTACAGCTTAACGGTTGGATTTGAATTATTTATATATAGCTTTAAAATTAAATTAAAAATTGAAACGATATCTCCCGGCCTTCTTCAACCGTAGATCGGAGTGTTACAACCATACGCAATCCAACTTTTTTAAAATAAACGTTGTACAATCAAAATTTCAGTGATTTATTAAAGTTCAAATATCCGAATTGACAATAAAATAATAATGGAATATCGAATTCATTGATTACACTCTCGCCTTGTTTTGACGTTCTTTATTTGAAATACCTGCATGACAAAAATTTAGCTAATTTAACTTTTGGATATCAGTTAAAATTAAATAAACTAACATTGTTTAGATCGATTAGTAAAGTGTCTACTTGCATTATTTACAGTAAATTATGTAATATTTGATTTTTAGTGTTGATTTAGGTTTGAAAATTGTAAAATGATAGCCAAGATGTGGGAAATATTTGGTCGAAATATGGCGAATACACTGTCAGTAAGCGAAGTGGTAAGAAGTGGCCAGTTTACAGAAAGAGATTTTTCCCTGCAAGACAAACAGCACTCAAAAACAAAAAACATTAATCAAAAACAATCCACTGTACCACTCTAAAAATAGCGGGGTTGCTCGATAAATGTTCTTTCCCATTTACAGAAGCGTGGTTATGGTTGACAGTTATGTCAATATTTTGTTCTGCACTCGTTAAGCGAAGGGAACGTAGAAGGCCGACAACGGTTTGTGATTCGTTTTTCGAGAATACGATCCATTTCGCTTAGGTGGCGGGTGATGGAAAGTGGAAAGCCAAATGAACCTCCATTAACCAGTTCTAAGGGAGAGTTTCACTCAACGAACATCTGTTATGCATCTGACAGGATTGGAGTAGAATGCTTAAATATAAAATGCTTCATGAGAGACGGTCAATTCCGTCAAATGTTCTTTCAAACTCGACCAACGCTATCAAGAAAAAAATTGCCTGCATTATTGAATAGAAATGGAGGTCTTTCCCCATGACAACGCAAAGCCTCTTATTTCGTTGATAACACGCGGTTGAATAGTTGCATTTGGCCTGTTACGACTTTCATTACTTATAAATAATACGAGCTTAAAAACTCGTTTTCTTGTTAAAGTAATACACACACACACACAATCTCTCTCACATTCACACATACAAACATCCTCTTTCTCTAACTCCCTATATCTTTATAAAATATGCAAATTATGTTTATAACAAGTAGGAATTGATTATTGATTTGAAAATTGTGCCCAAGTTCGTCGTCGAATTTTTGGGGTCCTTTTCAGAGTTGTGGAGAAAACAAGAATGGTTCTGAAGATTAAGATTGTTTTATTGTAGCTAATGTTATTATTGTTTATATACAAGTTAGGTGATGGATGTATTCTGTGTTAACGCTTCGTGAGATAGTATTTATATGCATGAATATGTAGTACAGAAGGGTCGATGGCGGAATATTGAGTACCCATCGACTAACAAAAAGAATAGGTCTGACGTCCTCATTAAAAACTGGATAAGCCCAAGTACACAATTTTTCCGGATTGCGATTTTATAGTTTAGACTTTTGGTAGAAATTCGATTTTTTAAACACTTTTTGTCTTTTCCTTCTCGACTTTACTAATTACACAGTCTGTCTGGCCTAAAAACACTAGAACGTGCACTTATCCCATATTTCGAAAATATGACCTGCCCAGCTTTGCCACGAGAGTGCAGAGTTAGTGTATGTTAGTACGCTAGTTGAAGAGTTCTCTTCTCTTTCTATCACATCCATTTAAAGAAATCTAACGCTCGCTCTTGTTTTCCTTTTGCGATAGGCAAAATATAAAAGACTTTTTTTTCGAAAGCTTTCGGTCCAACACTCGGCCCCTAATCAGTCTTCGTGTCATAAGGAAGATTTTCACTTTACTCTTTTTACAACACATTCACATAACATTACTTAATGCAATAATGGTAAAATCTCCCACGTGGCTTATTAGGGGCCAAATGTTGACCCCCAAAGCTTTCGAACCAAAATAAAAACTAGTGGAACAGTTCAAAAATTCGAAAAAACATACATTCATGCAGAACATACGCAAGACCTTTTTCTCTTTTATCTATACTTTTCCCTGTCAATCTGTCTGTTTCTTGGTTTTACTTTTCCCTCCTATTCCCCCCTCACTTTCTCGTTTCTTTCTAGCGCATACCTTCACTCTTTCTCACGTCTTCAAAACACACAAAACTCAAACAAACACACACACACACACACACACACACACACACACACACACACACACATAGAAGCACACTAAAAGTTAACTCTCTCTCTCTCTCTTTCTTTCTCTCTCTCTCTCTCTCGCTCTCTCTTTTTTCCTCTCTTCTCTTCTCTTCCCTTTCTATCACATTCATTTAAAGCTTATCTTCCTAACGTTCTATACTTTTGCCGTGTCAATCTGTCTCTTTATCTGTTTCTCTTTTCCACCCTATTTTCCTCTAAATATTTCTTATCTTTATATCATATACCTTCATTCTTTCTCACTTCGTCAAAACACACAACACACGCGCGCGAACACTAAAAATTAACAAGTATAGCTTATTTCATATCTTTTTTTTACTTTAACTATTGTAAATTTATCGATTAGTCAAATTTTAATACATATTGATAGATATTAATACATCTCTCAGTAGAAGAAAAGCACTCGAATTTTAAGACAATACCTTTTTTTCCACTCAGTCCAATCCGATATCATGCTTAAAACATGTTGACAGGAACGAATATAAATTAGGCAGCCTGTGCAACACGACATACATCATTTTCTAGAAATAAACAACCTTTTGTCCAACTTGATACATACTAAATAGATATCCAAACATCCCTCAGTAGAAAAAAAGCACTCGAAGTTTATGACAAACGTGTGTGGTGATTAGTGGCCGTTAGTCGATGATTATTCAGAAATCGTGAGATGCGGTATAAATTCACTTTTCCACTTCCTAAATGTATTTGTTCAATTTAAACAATGTTTGTAAATCCTAGGCCCTGAAGATGATCTCAATAAAGATTGAAACGTTGGCACGATAAAGAAAATGTTTTTTCTGAAACCTACATCACACCCGACCACATCTCACGATTTCTGAATAATCAATTTAAGACAAACGATTTTTTCCCACTGAGCCGAAGAGGGATGAAGTAATATCTTATACTTTATAGCCCTACTTAAGTAAACGGTGTATAATGGTATCTTAGGAGAAAAAATAAAAATAAATAAATCCCGTTTCACCGTTCATTGGTTATACCATTCCGCATAACATGTCTGTCGTGCGGAAGTGTATAGTCATGGATCGTCACCACCGCAGTCCTCTTTTAATCGTCACTTCAATTCGACTTCCCACTGCCGGTTTGATGTTGATACATAATAAATAGACATTAATACATCACTCAGTAGAAGGAAAGTTCCCGAATTTTAAGAGAAAAGATTTTTTTCCACTCAGTCCGATATCTTGCGTAAAACATATTGACAGGAACGAGTATAAATTAGGCTGCCTATGAAACACGGCATAGATCAATTTCTAGAAGTAAACAACCATTCTTTTTTACATCTCTTTTTTTTATTTATTTACTTTCCAGGAAGCGGCTGCAGGGAGAAGGTTCGGCCTTTTCGCAGTATTTACTAGGACTTGCAGAAAGGGTGGCCGAGTCGGGAGAAGTCGTCAATGTCGCCGAGTCGCTGGAAGTGGAACCTAGATCGTCGCCGAGCGTCAAATCGCTCTTGGCCATGCCGATCAGAAACAGCAATTATCAAATTATCGGTAAGTTAATATATTTTATTACCTTTGCGAATAAAAATTTGGCTTCATGCAACCCTCGTAAATCGCAGTGAAAAAAGTTCAGACTTATTTTAATCTTGTAAGTTATTGCTCGTAAAAACTTTTGCTGGCCTAGGAAATTTAGTTTACGGCCGTTTGTTTTAGTGCGAGCTGATTCAAAAAGTTTTTATGACTACAAGCATTCAATTGACAGTTGAAAGTATAAACGTTTATATATATTCCCGCAAAATAAAAAATATATTATAGGTGTTTGTTAAGTTTTGTAAAAGTTGGTTCGAAAATTGGGCGTTTTACGTTTCTCCACACTATTAATGTATTAATGCTTTTAATAATGGTTTATTTGAAGTTATGAGTTTATTTAAAATTTAAAATAATTATAAATACTCGGGCGAATTGAGAGTTGACAATGAATTTTTGATAAACTAGCAAGAGCCTACCACTCCTGTCGATCGTGGTATTAGTTTAAAGGCAATACTTTACACCTCGGCTTAAAGCAGCGACGAAATTGAGGTAATGTCAAGTCCCAAAATCGTTGGAAGTACCGATTTAGTGTAAACCTTTCAAATAAGAAAAACATATCATAGGAAGCTCATAACACAGAATCAGATCTCAAATAGAAATATGTATTACTTATTAGGGCAAAAACCTTTACAAATCATAACACATTTTCTACTAACTTTACAAGCATAAAATATTGTGTATCTCCCAAATATTAATGCCTGTTAAATTTTCAAGGCTGCGAAAAAAATGTCTTTAAAGGTATTTTTCACTTAAAAGCTCTAAATTTGATTTGGATAAATTAGGCAGTGTTTCGTAAGAAAAACAGCCACTTTACTTAACAACATAGTTGTATTGTTTGTCAAAGAAATAAGGAAGAATTTAATATACGATTTTCCACACCCTACTTTTACTCCTTGCACAACTTGATGTGTTTTGTAGTTTTGAAAGCGTCGGAGGTGATTATTGATGTGTCATCAACACTATAGTCTTTCACATTGTTCATGTTTGAGAAAAAATTCGCAAAAGTAGAACGTTTTTTGCCTTGTCCTGTTTATATCCTCAATTTCGCTCCATTTGATTATGGTCTATTGGTTTGCAAAACCCTTGCGCGGTAACGTTTGTTTGAAATTTACTAAAGTTTAATAGAATAATTGAAATTTTTAAAGAAAAATATAATTATATACTTCATCGCATCCCCGTCGTTTAGGCCCCGAAAACCACAGGGCGAAATCTCACGAAAATGTGAGAATTGTATTTTTTCCCGAAGAAACCGTAAAGTTATGTCATCACCAATTAAAATTACCTCTAAAATATATTGAAATAAATATTAATTAAAATTGAGGTTTAAATCATTTTCAAAAAGACTTATTTTGATCACATAATATTCTTAATTATGTGTATTAAAATTATTATAGAAATCCGAATTTTTTAAATAAATTCCTTGCTGTACTTATGATATATGATACAAAAATCTTTTGGTAGATTTTCATTTTCTCAGTGAGAAAGGGTGCTGAAGTTTAACTTGATTTAAACGTTCGTAAAAATAGATTTTCTTTGTGGCTTGCAGAAGGTTTTTTTTTTTTTTGTAAAATCCGTAAACTCAATTCTCTCTGAACAATTTAATACACCATATATTCAAAAACTATAAAAGTGCAATATCTTTTTCCACGAAATTAAAAATACTATTTATTTGTTATGACAGCGAGACACATAAAACTTAGAATTGATGATATCAACTTGGAAGTCATTGTGGGGCGATGACCCGGATGAGTCGATCAGTTCATTTAGAAGAATGTATTCATTTGTTGAGAGCAAAATAGAGTTCTAGGGAACGTTTATTGGTTCAGGAACCCTCGGTTTAAATGATTTCTTTTGTCGATGCGGAAAAAAAATTAAAAGTGTTTTTTTAGAATAAGCCAATGGATTGATGAGAGAAAGCAAACTGTACAATTAGTGAAAGATGTTAAGCAGGCGAAGTTTATTTATTTATTTTTTTCAAATGGAATTTCCTCAAAGGACCTAGGGGTTTATGAAAAGAATTCCAGTTTCATTGATTTCAAAAGTTTTTCACCGTTCAACAACAAACAATCGCCTACAAAAATGCAATTAATTCAAAGAAAAGCCGAGCCAACATAAACATCTGGCGTCGTTTGAAAATTCGCTTACTTATTTTCCCAAGAGGTTCTGTCAAAACGGAAGAGGAAAGGCAATAAATTTCTCAGTTCCTGGGTCACTAAGAAATTTAATTTCCTCTTTAATCTACCGATCCCATCTCTGTCATGCCTTCACTTGGACCCTTCATATCAAAACAAAAGTGGCCCCTTTGTTTTTCTTCTTTCCACCCCTGGGCACTTATGAGGGTACTCTCACAAGAGTGCTGTGTAGCAAAATAACAGTAAAATATATTCTTTTTGTCCAAAGCACTGATTGAATGTTTGGTAAGAATTGATTCGATAATTTATTAAATGCTAAAGGCTATGGCTGGTAAGTTACAGAATTTACTTCATATATTAATTTCAAATATTCAAAATTAATAAAATTTGTATGATATAAATGATATGTTACAAATTAATATCAATATAATTAAATAAAGGGAAAGTATATAAATGAATATACCGTACTGGGGATACCTATTGTACCAAATATTTTGTAATATTTAAAACGAAAAAAAATTTTGATCAATATTGTTTTAATTTAGCATTTTTCTTCTGTATAGTCCTTGTTGCGGTAGTCTGTCAAAACGTTACGGAATTTCGCATCTTCAGTATGTTTGTTTAATTTCTGTCGGTGATTTACCCGCCATAGAAAACTTTAACTACATAAACCAAACACAAAACATCTAATTTATAACAATTCACGTGGGAAATAAATAACAATAATTGTGTAAATTTCCTGGGCCTCACTGAAACGGGCACCAAACATTAATTTGACATATACGCGAAAACAGACACTAAATGGACCCTATGGCACGTAGGGAAAAATACACGCAGGGAAAAATACACACAAACTACCTAATATAATTAACAAATTTGCTATAAAAACAGCGTTAAGGGCCAAGAACAGTATCGGAGGACTTCGAGGTCTAGTAAAAGTTAATGGTACCGATCATTTCAATTTTATTTATTTATTTTTTTAATAATTCTGAAATTGTTCAGTTGGAAAAGAAACAATAACTGTAATATCCAATAAAGCTTACTTTTTGAATTCTCAGAAATGTTTTTATCCAATACCAGGTAGGTTATATATAGAAGAAAATGTTTTGATACAATGTGGTTTATAAAACATCATGTTTGATCAAACACCTCTATTTTTTACGGCCAAAACTAAGAAATACGAATTTGAAAAAATAACAGTAGAAACGATATTTCATTTAAACAAAAACAACAAAAAAGGTGGACGAATTGTGGTAACATTAAGTTTCAAATTCATGTTAAGTTTAGCTATTTTAGACAGAATTACAATAATAAGATCAAGATTATAAAAAAATTTACCGGGATAGTGTTTTGATATTTATATACATATATTATATTTGTATTATACTATAATTATATATTTAATATAATTGATTAAGTTTTACTTTTCATGATTTTCCTCAATTTTGCAAAATAAGAATTTTTATGGTACGTAAAAAAATGTGCCAATGTCCAGAAAATTGGTTATGAGTCGAATGAGGCAAGGATATCACAATTTTTGCTAATTTTACCAGTATCAAATGAAAAGGTTGTGAAGGATCTTTGCCGTCTTTCAGTATCGCATTATTCCTGTAAATAAAAAAGTTTTATTTTGCTTTTAATAATTCCAAAACTTTCTTCTAATCAAATCTCGCAGTTCCTTGGTTATCCCAGCCCTTAAACCGCGGCTCGGAGTCAATAACCTTTCGCGTATAAATTTTCTTTATGTTACCACTTGGTCTTGTAGTATGTTCTTGATTTGGGAGTGAATTTGTGTAGATATCGATACAAAGTTGGCTTCCGTAGAAGATAAACTCGGCGTGACTTCCGGGACACAAAGTTTTCCAATATGGCTGCATAAAGTAGCATTTGAAACCACACATGAGGCTGATAAGCCGCGAGGGGTTTTGTACTACCGTCTTACATTCTTAAGTAATTGACATTCGCGGAACTTAACAAATCAAATTGTTTTAATTATAGTTTGATTGAATATTGATTTATATGAGCCGAGTTTTTAATAATTCAAATTTCTAAAGAAAATAAAAATTGCTTTTAGAATATTTATTTCCTACTCTTATGTCATTAGAGGTTTAAAGAAGGGTGACGAATATTTATACACGTTCTCACTGCACTTTTGAATGAAATGCAAAGATCAAAGATTTAATCCAATTGATAATTAATTCATTAATCATTAATTATTAATGTCTTAACAGATTTTTGAAAGCTGTTTCATTTCTGGCTGACTTCAAATTTCATTATTTGTATAACAGTATCGGCGTAGTTCGGAAAAATTGGTACGAGCCAAAAGGGTTTGCGTACAGAATGAAAACACACTGTTGTGATTAATTATTTGGATTTTTATTTAGAACTTTCCTTTTTTTCTCCCCGAATCTCTACGTCCAAAATGGTGGAAAACCGAAGTGGGCCCCGGGTTTACTCGACTCATAACTCAAACAGGCCGGCCGAAGGCAAAGTTTCCACTGATCTAATTATAAATTCAAACATTTTCATTGTACACAGTTAACACAGTTCAGTTCACACCTTTTGCCTTTTTAAGAAAAAAGAAATGTTAAAAAATTAGTCAACCTTGAAATTTTTCATTTATGTATTTACATTATTTTATTAACACAAACTACGTAATTAAAGCAGGTTCATATTCAGAACTAAATAGCACAGGAGATAGGAGGTAGAAACTGGATTAACAGAACTAACTTAATTCAAATGGGTCAAGAGGCGAAGCGAAACGAAATTTGATAATTAAATAGGAAACATGTCGTCACTCCTTCCCACATTTAGGTGAATTTTAGTCTTGTAATTCGAAAATTATTCCCGTTTAATTTTCGAGCTACTCAGACTCTGGCTTTTGGTTTAATTTGATGTTTAAAATTCACAGATGGATTTCCACAAATTCTTCCTACAAGGGTTATGACTTAACTCCTGGGAATTGTTGATGCCAACCATCCAAAAATAACAGCAATCCTTATTTAATGAATAAGTCATTCAGAAAACAAACTTCGTGTTGATATTTAGTGATATAAATTTTCGTAAAATAAACAGAACTGGAGAGTGAATGGAGAAGAGAAAGAGAAACAAAGAAAAAATAATGAGTGTTAGAACGTGAAAAACAGAAGCGAAGAGATAGATGAACAAAAGTTAATGAGTTACAGCCAGACAAACGGAGAAGATTTTTTTAACATAAATAAGTTTTAACAAGTAGAAAGAAAAAAACGAGAGAATTAAATAGAAAGATAGTTGGGAGGAGAGAAACATGAGAGAAATGAAGGTTGTCAGAGGGAGTGCATTATTGAAAACTGACGGTAAAGATTTATTAATAAGAAAAAATTGTAAAGGAAAAAAAGAAGAAATAATTAAATGAAAGAAGAGAAAACGGAGAGGTTTACGGAAAGAAGAATGAGACAAGGGAGAGAAGAGAAAATAAATGAAAACTAAATATAGAAAGGTCAAATTAAAGAAAAATAGAATAGAGAATAGACACTTCGAAGATAGAGAACAAGAGAAAAACGAAAACAGAAGACGCGTAAAAGATTATATAAAAAACGAAATATAAAATACAAACACAAAAATAAAATATTTGCCAATAGAAAATTGCGAAAGTCTGAGCCACAGTGTGACACAAACTAAAATGGATTGTACGCTGCTTACTTCATACTGAAATTATAATTTTATCACATAATCATCAAGAATCGGAACAATAAAGATAGCTTGCATATCTATGCTAGACGTAAGCTATTATTATTATCAATTTATATTGAATTTTTAATTTTTTTCATTTTTAAAGTTAACTCTTTCAATTCACTAGTTTTCGTGGTCCTCTTGACCAATTTTTTACCTCAACTAAAAACCTTAATTAATTTAAAGTTAACAATGAATTTTATGTTCTGGTGATAATCTGGAAAGAGGTAGTGTTAGTTATTAAGCAAGTTTTACAAACAAAATAACCAGATATATGAATATTTGACTTTCCTTACTTTTAAATAGAAGAAGTGTAAGAAAAAAATAATATTAATTTTCCAGATAAAGATGACAAAAGACGTTCATTTGACGGGACCCTGGTTTTATCAAAACACCATTTCCGTTTCATACAGTCTGATTGTACCCAGAAGCATTTCTGTTTAACATCAACTCAAGTGGAAGCTGTTTTGAAGGTCGTTGAACGAGTCCCTTTTTGTAGTTCCCTGTAGAAAGTGAAAACGGGAAAGAGGGTTGTTTGTCGGTCTCCTTTGACTTCGAGACTTCGCTTTATGGGTATTATGTTATTAATCAAATCCACCTTTCATTGCATATTGCGTTCTGCCAAATATTCCCTCTATAATATTTGTCTGAACAACACCTACACTGCTGTACATTTAGTTTTAATATGGTAAAAAAAATACTTTGCGTGGAAAGTGATGAATTAGAAACGCGAGTAATTTCAATTTGTGCGAGTTCATGTAGATTTTGCTTGTTCAATGTAGGATTCTAACAAATAAACGCATTTTTTAGAAACTTGTTCAATACAATTTTTTTCTTAATAAAACAAAAGAAAGAGAGTGTTTTAGAATGAATTAAAGAAAACAGGTCTACATTAGAATTATCCATTTTGAAACAAGACTGTTTAAAATGTTTTACATTTAAAGTTCATTAGCATGGATGGTTTTACAAAATATTATAAGTTTGTTAACAAAACAATTTCCATAGTTTTTCAACAAGCCCTTGTACATACCTATGTAACTACCTGTATGTAACTAACTCGTTTCTAGACAAACTTTTCGTGCATTGGAAAACAAAATAAAGATCAAGGTTATAAGCTGGTTGAAGCAAGGCTTACAACATATTTGCGAAGTTTATAAGTGTCAAAGAGAACGAATACAGGATGCTTTCCCGCGTTCTACATTGCGTTAAACTGGTTGATTAACGAGACAATATAAAAGATAGTGTGCCACTTGAGAAATCACCAATGTGGTTGAACAATCATGATAAATTTTGGAATGACAAATTATTGTATATTATTAATGGCTATTTAGAGATCGGGAGATGCGGTCTGGTGTGATGTAGGTGTATAAAAATATTTTCTTTATCGTGTCAACGTTTCGATCTTTATTGAGATCTTCTTCTGGGCCTGGGTTTAATGAACATTGTTTAAATTATACAAATACATGTAAGATGTGAAAATGAATTTATACACAATATTCCACCCAACTGATTTTTTTCATTCCCTCGGTAAAAGAAAATTCTGCCCTTAATTTGTCTTATTGTTTTATCAATAAACATTTGTTTATGCTCTGTTTTAAATTGGGAATATCAATTAGAGGTAAATACATTTAATCCTTAATCCAAAACAAGGATAAAGGATTTTTCAATGTTGAATTGACCAGAACACACAGAGTTGTAGGGCTCTCGTATAACACAGCGTCTTTGGAAGATTGGTCTGCTGTACTTTTTGCAGATGAGTGTCGATTTGCTCTACGATCTCCAAATGGGCTGGAAAGAGTGTGGATAAGGCGAAATAAAAGGTACGAAGCCTGTAATTTTTCCCAGAGCCAACCTTTTCAACGTAGCTCAGTGATGGTGTGGGCGGGAATTTCAATGGAGAGTGGCACAGAGTTGGTTGTGTTCGTGGACGGTCTTTGAAACATCAAGCGTTGAATAAGCAAACAAACCAGCTACAAATAAATATAACAAAAAAATTCTAGTTGATATTGATCGACATCCGTAGTTTAAATTGATGTATTGGATCTTCTTGAGGTCTTACAGGTGAATAAAAAACATCATGGCATATTCGGGAATCCTACAACAGTTCATGAATCGTAATAAAGCGCATAGTGACGTTGGTGTGTCTGATCACACCGGGATTGATAACAGGGATGGGTCCCTTACCGTGTTGTAACCGTCCGATGTGTCTCAATTTTCTTAAAGTTCCTTGTACTTATTGTAAATAATTAAATTATAATTCTAAGTTAAAAAACAGTTTAAAAGTTGATATACATATAACGTATCTGTGATAAAGAAATACATGTACCTGAGATTGAGTATTAACTTATAAAGAGGTGGGACCAAAGGATGGACCGATGAGTGTCACTAGATTTTAAACAAGATTTTTTTTTTTTTTCAGTATGTAGATTCATTTCCACCTTCATTTTAAAATAACAACAAACATGTGCAATAAATTTAATTGTCTTAAAAAACTGGGTGAAGTCCGTAATTTTATTCTTATAATGTATGAGTATATGATGTTTTATGTAATTCTGTTAATGTAAATTTGTTTCCAATAAGTTAGGCCCTGAAGATGGCGGAACATTCGCCGAAAGCTTGGTGAAACCCAATAGTTATGTTTTTTATTCACCTGTAAAATGACCTGAAGAAGATCCAATACATCAATAACAAAAAAACAAAAATTAGTTTTAATAGTTTAAACAAAATAATGATCTTGTAAATCATAGATAGGATAAACCTTTAAAACTTCAACAAAAGACGAATTTTTGTCTAACATTAAATCAGCGACAATCCTACTCTAAAGCACGATAATGCTCGTCCACATGTCGCTCGCATAATAGAAACGTACCTTCAACAGCATAACATCAGGGTCTTCATTTCCATACTGATAAAAAGTATACTGAGGCGTCTTCGAGATGTAATTAAGGGAATATGAGGAAATATGCGATAATGAAATGTTAATTAAAAATCTAAAACAAAATTAAAACAAATTTTATCTGTCCAAATTTTTTAATTTTTTTTAAAGTTTAATCAAGTTATTTGTGTTCACTCAAAGTGTGTGTTTTCTGTGTAGATGTGTCACGGTTGTGTGTCGTGTTGAGTGTTAATGTTTTTTGTTCATATATGTTTGATTTTGAAGGAATGGGAAAGGATTTAGGGATAGAAATTCATTTTTCTACGAGGATTTAATTAACGGGCACTAAATACTACAGAGATATTACTAATGGTAATATTTTTTATGCTAATCAACTGTCTTTTGGCCGAATTTTGTTATTTATTTTGTCAATTCGTACACACGCGCCGAGTAGGAAGTGAATGGAAGGATGGTTCTGAATGAAGGGCAAACGAGGGCATTGAACCACCCGGATTCACGCTGAGTTTATATATAGTCTACTCACGCCCTCGTTTTATTAACTTGAAATCATTTCTTTTCCAGGTGTCGCGACGATAATCAATAAGCTGACTGGGGACCCATTCGACGAGAACGACGAACAGCTTTTTGAGGTGAGTTTCTACCATGAATCTTAGACGATAAATGCGGAAAAATGAAAACAAAATTGAAAATGAAAAAACAGTCCTGGTTATCCACTAGCCGAGTGACTTGGTATTTTCTGCCCACCGGGTGGATTCGTAGAGATAAAGCAAGGGAAGGAAGATTTACGATACTTGGAATGGTTCCAACCATCACAAGAGGCATTGGATAATATGACGCAAACTTTATCGATCCTAGGCCCTTTGATACAACTTTATTCCTCGAGTTAAAAATAAATTTTCTGCCTATGACAATATATGAGCTGGATAATTTTATTCCTTTCCAGATGGATCGTCCCTTAACACTTTCAATCCCGGCCATTTCAGTTCTTTCCAGTCAATCGAGCTTTGGCCCATAGCGAAACTTTTAGTGATTTTTATCACATATCTGACACAAACTATTCGATAAATATCGTTAAACTCATATTTCACTTCCGGGAATAAGGTATAAGACTGAAAAATAAAATATTGTTGTTCAAAACGGTAGAACGAGTTAAAAATATTTGAAGATTGATAATGTAAAAAATTCTTACTAAATCCCCATGCATGCAAATATTATTTCACTCATGATTGTAGCATTGCAATATTAATAGATTGTGTACATTAATGCATAATAAACTAATATTTTTGGCTTAATTGCTAACTAGTAAATTACGGGCTAAATTTACCGGTGACTAGGCTGATCGACCTAAAAAATATTTGGAGTGAAAAAAAACACATTTCGTCACTAGAAAACAATTATTGTTATATTATTGTACATTATTACAATTTATTAGATAAAAAGAACTTTCACAACTTAAAACAAAAATAACAAATGAATTATTTATTGGAAATTATCTCAGGATATAGTCCAAAATTAAATATATTTATCTGTCGGGTTTTAATTTACATTTAATTTTTATCTTACGAGAGAATTTATTATAACTAACAATTCTTCTTTTTGTACTTGCATAAATTATTCCTACAAATACAACAGACAGATTTAATTATTTCTATTTATAAACTTAAAGGTCATGTTCTTTGGGCTAAACAATTTATCAAATTACAACCTTTAAATACAATCTAAATTTAAACCGTCGCAAATTCTGATAATGAAATAAAAATGAATTCTGGAGGAGCAAAAATAAACAAGGTCTAAGTTAACAACATGCCATGTATCTTAAAATACCTTAGTTAGAAAGTCAAGTCAGTAATAAAAGCGAGGTGAGGCAAGATGTAAGTTCCATTAACATATGTGAATTTGACAACTGCAATTATTCCATTAAAACTATTGAATAAAATACTACGAATTTTCAGTCTTGTCACAACAAACAACTCTAGCCTAAAATTTGATTTGGCAATGTGTGGGTGCGAGAGTGAGGTGCGGCAGCGAGTTTTCAGAAATAATACGAACAGAACCCGACGTTCCACAAGGGGGTATTCTCAGGCCCATCTTTTCTACCCTTCAAATTGCTGACTTCCGTATAGATCTCAATACCAACATTACCAACTACACGGATGAACCACAATTTCATTTCCTAACCCGAATCCTATCCAAGCGAACTTCAACATCGGATGGAATCAGTTAATGTTCATTGAATGAGGAAAAGTGTACACATAAATTTCCTTGATATTCTCCACTGTACATCAATTTACATCAACAAGAAGAAGCTACCACATCCATTTAAGCCAGATATTTAAGATTAGACCTAGACATCAAATTGACATGAAATAACCCCACAAGACTTAAGAGACAATAACATAACAGAAGCCTTTTACGGGTTTTTTAAAAAACCGAAATGTTTTTTAGATGTTCCATTTCGACTGACTCTATGCAAGACGTTGCGATTAATTTGAGCATACGGAGATGAACTGTGGGGTTTCGCCAAGTCGTCCAATATTGAGCATCCATCCTTGCTATCAAAGTCTGCAGACAAATTGTCAAAGCTCATTACTACATCAGTAACCTCACTATCCACAACGTCACCATTCCTTCTGTCAATGAATTGATAGAATCCCACTTCCAGAAGTTCCACAGCAAAGTTCTCGATTCATCCTAACCCTACTGCCCAAGCCCTATTTACTCTTTCATCCCGAGAACCCGTCACGTCGCTTTAAACGACGATGTTCTTAAGCCCTCCTCGCCTCTCAACTTGTTCTCGTTGGTTCTCGTGAAAGGTGTCGTCCTGAAGTGCTGATCATTACGTTAGTTATGAGCCCAGAAGAAAATAAGCATATATATGCACATATTTTTAATATGCAATAATACATATGCTTGCTTTTATATGTTATTTAACAAAAAAGCTATGTAATCGTGCGGTTTAGCTGATTTTTAACCAAGAAGATCGGAATATAGCGTGAACATGGGCAATCCTGATTCCTTCTTTTGCTAATGTAAGATGATTGGAAAACTATGATTACTCTTTCAAGCTGTTGAAAAATATCGTATATAACCTTGTAGCCAAGATAAAAGCACACAAGCGTCGAAAAACTTTCTTTGATAACTTCTTTTTCCGATGTACAGTTTACGATGAGAATTTCCAAATTTTTGTTTCTATAAATGAATCTTCTTCATCATCTTGAAGATTTTTTCAAAGAAATTGCCTACATTGAGACCTATTGCCATAAAGAATTTTAACCAATCCGTATATTGCATTATCTAGTCCTAGTATTTCAATTGAACATTTTGCCTTGCAGTACGTTTCTCTCCAGCATCATTTATGCTTATCTATCTCGGAAGATGATGTATCAAGATTTTTTTGTTTTTGAGCAGTCTCGATGCAATTTATAACAGCACATATTATTGAAAGACGGTTTGGTAACACTACTGAGTAAAGGAATACTTTCAACCCAATATCGGACATTCTTGCAAAGAAAAAAACCTCGATGAAAACTTCTCAAAAATAATAACTGAAAATGAGTTGACGACATACTTGCCAGACAACTCCTCAAAACACGTACTTAGAATTTACCAAAGAAACTGAAAATAACAACAGCATCAACTTCTTGATACTTACCAAAACCAACAATAAAAGAAAAGTCCAAATATACAGAAAACCCACTGCAACCGTCATCATAAACGCAAAATCCACCATCTACACCAACACAAAATTGCAGCACAACTACACATGAACCACAAACTATCAACAATCCCACTCAACCCTGAGAATTACAAACTACAAACAATAAAGACATTTTCAGTAAAAAATGGATATAAAACAAGTACCAACCAGATACTATTTTTTTAAAAACGAAACACAAAAACTGACCCAATAAACGACCCAATGCCGGTTCAGCAACCTAGTACAAAGAGATTAACGCGAACCTTTCAGGATTAGAGATGATCAACTAAAAACAAAAATTTAACAATCGAAGCATATCCTACAAAACTACAATATTTTTATACACTATGACATCATTTTTGTAATAAAATATGAAATTTCAAATTTCAATAGTTATATGTACATAAAGACAACACCAGACGTATTTTGTTGTTTATTTCAGCAAATATATTTTTTTATTGTATACCATATTAGACGAGATCAGGAATTCATGAGATTGAGTAAAAATTATTTAATTATAATGGTTTGAACGAAAATTCACTAAAATACCAGAAAATCATTTATTGTCAGAATAAATTGTTAGTTAAATTTTAATTAATCACTGAATAATGTTTCTGTGTTTTGGTGAATTTCATATATCGTTTAATTAGGTTTACATTAAAATATACATGTTTTAATTATTATAACGATAAAAATTCAAATATGTAGTTTTAAATAAATAACAAAATACATGTGTCCATTTTTTAGTGTATAATCCAAAACAATAACTTGGGACAATTAGTAATTAAAAAGTATTTGATCGAATTTTAAATATATTTAATGGCTAAAAGAAATTGAAAATAAAATATAAAAACCCACTCAATAATAACAACACTATAATGTTTATTACGATACTGTACGTCTTATAAAATAATTAAATATTACCATGAAAAACAAAACTTCAAATTTTTATAGTTTAAGTGTCAATGAAGTGTTTAACATTTATCAGATATCTGATCCGTTAATTATTTTCCCGTCATATTTCGAATTATATAGCTAAATTTAAAAAATGAAACAATATTTACATGTAAATTAAAACTGTTAATACGTTCAGACTGATAATCTGTTAAGCTCAGATTTTATATTCGACAAACAGACATTAAATAAATTCCATTAGAACTTTATCCTTTTACGTAAATATATCGTGTAACGAAGTCAAAGGAGAAAATATTATGTGATATATATCGAAGTGTAGGTGGTAGATAGGCTTCAAAGAGAACGCCTAAGCAGATGAAACCAGGCTCTCGGTTCCAGCTCATTGCTTATTGAGATATTCGCTATTCTAGCATACATTTCACCGTAATTGGCCAACCTGAAATCTCGAGTATTCATCGATTTCTCATTATTCTTAAAAGGTTTTTTCCAAAAAGCAATCATTAAACATCAGTTCAAACCTTACATTAATCCATGTCTTTTCCTGCCGTCCTTTATGAGAATGTGTGCTGTTCAAAACGTCTAGCTGATTTATGTTAACAAGAACTCGTTAAATTTTGACAACAAATTTGCCTTTTATTAATGACAAAAAATTTCTTCGTACAATATTAAATACATAAATACAAAAGAGCCGAAAGCACCAAAAAAAGTTTGACTGAGCGAATTGCATAAAAACAACGAAAATGTATGAAATATTGCTTCGCAATGTGTTTTCCATGTTTATGTTTCCACATCGAGGCACACATCTCCGATTCCCACCGCTTGAAAATTAATATTCTTTATAAATTATTAAAATCGTGGTCACGATATTTAACAAGCTACAAAACCTTGAATAAATATTCCCTTTTGTCTCTAAATCAAATTGTAAAGTTAATAATGTTAGGTGCTGTTTGGTACAACTAAGATTGCGAATTAATCATAGTATTTAACAGTTGAGACATTGGATTTTTCTTTAATTTA